ACATATACTGGGTCTTGAAAGGTTGCTAATAAAACACCAATCTGAATGGATATTTTTAGGTGAACCAGATCAGCATCTCCTTCCACTTAGAAAACTCGTGATTTCCAGATCTCTGCAAATGGCTTTGTTACCAAGAAGAGGAGAAATTTCATTCAAGTGGAAATTGAACCTCTAATTCAAGCATACTGCTTGCTATTAATTGCCAAAACAGGATTGCTAATGAGGAACCTATTTGTATATGTTTGCAAAAGCTGAATCATTGAAAACATACCGTGAAACTCTTTATCTTTGGACACTCAAAGACAGAGAGCAAAGAGTATGGAAGTAGTCCATCTTTTGAAATTTATGCATTTTATATTTTTTTTCCCTCAAGAAGTTTTTTTCTTTTTTGAGTTGGAGTCTCACTCTGTCACCCAGACTGGAGTGGGGTGGCCACTCCCGGCCACTGCAGCCTCGACCTGCTGGGCTCCGATGATCCTTCCGCCTCAACCTTCCAAGTAGCCAGAATTACAGGCATGTGCTACCACACCCGGCTGATTTTTTTATTTATTATAGAGATGAGGTCTCGCCTGCCCAGGCGGGTATCGAACCCGCGGGCTCAGGCAATCCACTCACCTCAGCCTCCCAAAGGCACGGGATTATAGGGTGAGCCACCAAGCCCGGCTTCAAGATAGTTTTGATGGTGGCATGTTTAACATCTTTTTTTTTTTTTTTTGAGTTGGAATCTCACTCTGTCGTCCGAGCTGGAGTGCACTGGCATGCTCACGGCCACTGCAGCTTCAGCCTGCTAGGTTCAAGCGATCCTTCTACTTCGGCCTTCCAAGTAGTTGGAACTACAGGCATGTGCCACCACGCCCAGCTAATTTTTCTTGATTTATTGTAGAGATGAAGTCTCGCCAAGTTTCCCAGGCTGCTCTCAAACGCCTGGGCTCAGGTAATCCTCTTGCCTCAGCCTCCCAAAGTGCTGGGATTACGGTCTTGAGCCACTGTGCCCAACCATGTTTAACATCTTTTTTCCAAGATTCTATAGATGGAGAATAAGTTAGTACAAGTATCTACATAACACCTCAGTTTTCTTAGCTTATTAAAGAAGTGAGCAGGAGTTCATTCTCTGTAAGTTTGTTTTTTGAGTCGGAGTCTCACTCTGTCGCTCAGGTTGGAGTACAATGACACACTCATGGCCACCGCAGCCTAGACCTGCTGGGCTCAGGCGATCCTTCTTCCTCAGCCTTCCTAGTAGCTGCAACCACAGGCATGTGCCACCATGCCCAGCTGATTTTTTTATTTACTGTAGAGATTAGGTCTTGCCATGTTGCTCAGGCTGGTTTTGAACACCTGAGCTCAGGAAATCCTCTTGCCTCTGCCTCCCAAAGTGCTGAGAGTACAGGCATGAGCCACCACGTCTGGCTAAGATTGTTGTTTTGTAAAACTCTTCTAGCCGGGTGCAGTGGCTCACACCTGTAATCCCAGCACTTTGGGCGATGGAGGTGAGAGGATTGCCTGAGCCCATGGGTTCGATACCAGCCCGGGCAACTTGTCAAGACCTCGTCTCTATAATAAATCAAAAAAATTAACCAGGCATGGTGGTGCATGTCTGTGGTTCCAGCCACTTGGAAGACTGAGGTGAAAGGATCACCTGAGCCCAGCAGGTCGAGGCTGTGGTGGCCATGAGTGTGCCACTGCA